TACCAGTAACCAGTTACAGTAACAGTTACCAGTAACCAGTTACCAGTAACCAGTGACCAGTAACAGTGTAACCAGTAACCGTTACCAGTAACAGGAGTCTTACCAGTAACCAGGTACCAGTAACCAGTTACCAGTAACCATTACAGTAACCAGTTACAGTAACCAGTGTACCAGTAACCAGTGTCAGTAACCAGTGTACCAGTAACCAGGTACCAGAAACCAGTACCATCTAACCAGTGTACCAGTAACCCATTCCAGTACCCAGTTACCGTAACCAGTCCATACCATTACATAACCAGTTCCAGTAACCATTCCATAACCAGTGTACCAGTAACCATACCAGTAACCATCCAGTAACCCATGTTACATAACCATTACCATAACCAGTTACCAGTAACCGTGTACCAGTACCAGTAAGTAACCGTAGTAACCAGTTACCAGTAACCAGTTACCAGTAACCAGTTACCAGTAACCATTTGTACCAGTTAACCAGTTACCAGTAACCAGTTACCAGTAACCAGTGTACCAGTAACCAGTTACCAGTAACCAGTTACCAGTAACCAGTGTACCAGTAACCAGTTACCAGTAACCAGTTACCAGTAACCAGTGTACCAGTAACCAGTTACCAGTAACCAGTTACCAGTAACCAGTGTACCAGTAACCAGTTACCAGTAACCAGTTACCAGTAACCAGTGTACCAGTAGCCAGTTACCAGTAACCAGTTACCAGTAACCAGTGTACCAGTAGTTGACTCACTACCAACCGTCTCTGCCTGAGTCACTGTCTGTATTCATATTGTGCTGACCACAGCAGTATTCAAAGACCCCTTACATATGGGTACTGTGGGCGGCCAGTCAGTTATACGAGAGTGAGCAAGGAGGCAGGCCGGCTGTTTGGCGCTTCCCACATTATCCGTAATATACGTACTACCAGCCTACGTGAGTATTACTTTACCCTATCCACGTGTTCGAACTCCCACATGATATGTTGTGTGTGTGTGTGTATGTGTGTGTGTGTGTGTGTGTGTGTGTGTATGTGTGTATATGTGTGTGTGTGTGTGTGTGTGTGTGTGTGTGTGTGTGTGTGTATGTGCGTTTGTGTGTGTGTGTATGTGTGTGTGTGTACTCGCCTAGCTGTGCTTGCAGGGGTTGAATACTGGTTCCCTCCACTCACTATCTACTACTGTCCCACCTATCATCTTGTGATTGCTGGCCTCCAGAGACTCGCAGCCTCTTCTTGAAGCTGTGCATAGTGTCTCACCTCCAGCACCTCTAACACTCTGGCACCCTTATACCCTGGCACTCTTACACCCTGGCACTCTTGCACCTTGGCACTCTTACACCCTGGCACTCTGGCTCCCTTTCCTCGAATCTCACAGAGCCTGGCTTGATCCTTTCTTATTCTGAGTATTTTATGTATCGTGATCATGTCTCCCCTCATCCTCTAGTCTTGATAATCTCAATTTTTGTGTAATTTTCTCCTTGTATTCTATTTCCGCCCTAACTACCGTCATCAATCTTGTTGCATAACTCTGGTTGTTCTTTAATTTATTTATATTTTTGATCAGGTGTGGCTCCATGGTGGCGCTGCATACTCCATGATGGACGTAACATACGTTCTTGGTAACGTCGTTTATGTGGCCTGATTCAGGTTCCTGTGATCGGTTCCTAGGTTAATTAGTTTTGTATTGGTTGATGTAGCATTGATGCGTTTCTCTTGTGATATGCTTTGTGTAATGTTTACTCCCAGACCTGTTCTTGCATTTTGTGTGTGTGTGTGTGTGTGCGGCTTCCATCTTGCTAGTGTACTGTATGTGTCTGGTCTCTCTCTCTCTCTCTCTCTCTCTTCTCTCTCTCTCCTCTCTCTCTCTCTCTCTCTCTCTCTCTCTCTCTCTCTCTCTCTCTCTCTCTCTCTCTCTCTCTCGTATTCTCTTACTCTATTTCTCCCTGGGTTCCCAGGTGGAGCCTCTCCCTGTGTTTCCCAGGTGGAGCCTCTCCCTGTGTTTCCCAGGTGGAGCCTCTCCCTGTGTTCCCCAGGTGGAGCCTCTCCCCGTGTTCCCCAGGTGGAGTCTCTCCCTGGGTTCCCCAGGTGGAGCCTCTCCCTGGGTTCCCCAGGTGGAGCCTCTCCTTGTGTTCCCCAGGTGGAGCCTCTCCCCGTGTTCCCCAGGTGGAGTCTCTCCCTGGGTTCCCCACGTGGAGCCTCTCCCTGGGTTCCCCAGGTGGAGCCTCTCCCTGTGTTCCCCAGGTGGAGCCTCTCCCTGTGTTCCCCAGGTGGAGCCTCTCCCCGTGTTCCCCAGGTGGAGCCTCTCCGTGTTTCCCAGGTGGAGCCTCTCCCCGTGTTCCCCAGGTGGAGCCTCTCCGTGTTCCCCAGGTGGAGCCTCTCCCTGTGTTCCCCAGATGGAGCCTCTCCGTGTTCCCCAGGTGGAGCCTCTCCGTGTTTCCCAGGTGGAGCCTCTCCCCGTGTTCCCCAGGTGGAGCCTCTCCCTGTGTTCCCCAGGTGGAGCCTCTCCCCGTGTTCCCCAGGTGGAGCCTCTCCGTTTCCCAGGTGGAGCCTCTCCCCGTGTTCCCCAGGTGGAGCCTCTCCGTGTTCCCCAGGTGGAGCCTCTCCCTGTGTTCCCCAGGTGGAGCCTCTCCGTGTTCCCCAGGTGGAGCCTCTCCGTGTTTCCCAGGTGGAGCCTCTCCCCGTGTTCCCCAGGTGGAGCCTCTCCCTGTGTTCCCCAGGTGGAGCCTCTCCCCGTGTTCCCCAGGTGGAGCCTCTCCGTGTTTCCCAGGTGGAGCCTCTCCCCGTGTTCCCCAGGTGGAGCCTCTCCGTGTTCCCCAGGTGAGCCTCTCCCCGTGTTCGCCAGGTGGAGCCTCTCCGTGTTTCCCAGGTGAGCCTCTCCCGTGTTCCCCAGGTGGAGCCTCTCCGTGTTCCCCAGGTGGAGCCTCTCCCTGTGTTCCCAGGTGGAGCCTCTCCGTGTTCCCCAGGTGGAGCCTCCCCTGTGTTCCCCAGGTGGAGCCTCTCCCGTGTTCCCCAGGTGGAGCCTCTCCGTGTTTCCCAGGTGGAGCCTCTCCCCGTGTTCCCCAGGTGGAGCCTCTCCGTGTTCCCCAGGTGGAGCCTCTCCCCGTGTTCCCCAGGTGGAGCCTCTCCGTGTTCCCCAGGTGGAGCCTCTCCCTGTGTTCCCCAGGTGGAGCCTCTCCCCGTGTTCCCCAGGTGGAACCTCTCCCTGTGTTCCCCAGGTGGAGCCTCTCCCCGTGTTCCCCAGGTGGAGCCTCTCCGTGTTTCCCAGGTGGAGCCTCTCCCCGTGTTCCCCAGGTGGAGCCTCTCCGTGTTCCCCAGGTGGAGCCTCTCCCCGTGTTCCCCAGGTGGAGCCTCTCCGTGTTCCCCAGGTGGAGCCTCTCCCTGTGTTCCCCAGGTGGAGCCTCTCCCTGTGTTCGTGCATCTCTCTGTATTTACACCTCACTTTGCCAGCAGCAACAACATCTTGGTCGACCAGGCAAGCACCAGGCGAGCCTGTACCATGGCCGGGCTCCGGGAATAGCAAGACTCTGGAAACTCATCACAGGTATATCTCTGAACCAACGTTAGTGCGGAGAAAAGCACTTTGTGTGCAATTCAGGTCACTTATGAGAAGGCAACGTTTCGCCACTATAAAGAAAGTCCCTTGTTATGCTGAGCATTTCCCGCAACTTAGGTCAATTTTATCCCCAGGATGCCACCCACACCAGTCCACTAACACTCAGGTACCTATTTTACTGCTAGGTGAACATGGACAGCAGGTGTCTTAAGGAAACACATCTTAACGTTTCCACCCGTACCGGGGATCGAACCACGGACCTCCGTGTATGAGGCGAGTGCGCTAGCGATCGAGCTACGGGACACCCTAAAGGTCCAAGTCTGAGCGAAATGTCGTCATGACTTAAGTCTCCTGTAAGCAGATTGTTCACGTCTTGTTAAAGTCTTGCTATTGTGTCTATTCTTTACGTTCGTTTCTCCGTCAGTACTCAGACAATCCGCTTCGTAAAGCATCTAATAACTGTAAGTCAGCTCACCAACTAGCAGAACCAGTCTGTTACTCAGTGATCAGTATACGTCGTGGATATTAGGGTCAATATTGCAGGTTTTTTTTGGGGGGGGTTGTGAGATGACTGGTTAATTGTCGCTATGTGGTCGCACAGTTCCTCTGCTGGAGCGGGTACTGCTCAGGGGATGTTCTCTGTCTCTGTCTGTCTCTCTGTCTCTGTCTCTCTCTTGTTCTATATCACTTCACTACATCTTTCTGCTCTTCCTCCCCCTCCCCCTTTAATTTTATCACTTTCTTTCTTACATCTTCCATCTTATGTGACTTCGTCTTCGTCTGGCTCACCACAACTAACATTCTCCTGGTTATGTTATTATTATTATTATTATTATTATTATTATTATTATTATTATTATTATTATTATTCAATAACTCTTAACACAGTTGTTTATATACGGTGCTGAGGCTTTTGGGGGCTGTCGAAAGGCTCTTCATCCAGGGACTGAGAGCGATCTCTTTCTTCCTTCAATATAGTAATAACGTGTGTGTGTGTGTGTGTGTGTGTGTGTGTGTGTGTGTGTGTGTGTGCTTGTGTGTGTGTGTGTGTGTGTGTGTGTGTTTTGGGAGAAGGCGAGGGGGGACTGAGGGAGGGGAGAATATAAGGGGAAAAGAGAGAGAGAGAGGGGAGAGACAGTGTAGTTATGTAACTACGATACATACTGTATACTGAGAGGTGTATGTTTCTGTGTATATACACAGGAAGGTGTGTATATACACAGGAAGGTGTGTATATCTCAGTGTATATATACCAGGAGACACTACACCAGGGTCATTAAGACAGTCTTAATGACCCTGGTATAATGACTGGTGGTGTACAGGTGATATACAGTCTTAATGACCCTGGTGGTGTCCAGGTGACATTTAATGACCCCTGGTGTAGTAGACAGACTTGAAACCCCCACTAACCAAGCTTGTAAGTAGGTGAAGGTGACCAACATACCACACATTGTGAAGATGAGACGATCATGACATCTTCCCTCACCAGCGTGTCTGGTGAGTCGGAAGTGAAGGTGAGAAAGTCATCAATTTCCTGTTTCATGTTGATGGTATGTATCATGTAGCCTGTGTCAGTGCCTCCTGTGTCCTCAACACCACCTCTCTCCTGCACACACTCTCTGCTTCTCCGTTCACCGCCTCTCTCCTTCATGTAGCAGCTGTCTCTTTCTCCTATACACCAATTCTATCTCCTTCACACTGTCTTATTCTTACTTTTCGAGACTAGGTGTGTTCGTTCTCTACTACCTGTGTTGTTTACGCTCGTCTCCTGCACACTGTCTCCTCTCACTGTACCAATACACTGTCTCCTCTCACTGTACCAATACACTGTCTCTTCTCCTCACAGCACCACTAGTACACAACCTTCGTTGTCAGTGTGTTATGATGACACTATCTCAGGCAAGATTCACACTGTCACGTGATGGAAGATGCAGCTGGTGATGTGCCTGTGGTGCTGCTGGTGATGCTGCTGCCTCTGGTGATGCTGCTGCCTTTGGTGATGCTGCTGCCTCTGGTTATGCTGCTGCTTCTGGTGATGCAGCTGCCTCTGGTGATGCTGCTTCTGGTGATGTTGCTGCCTCTGGTGATGCTGCTTCTGGTGCTGGTGGTGCTGGTCACTCTACTTCTTGTCTGTTCTACCAGCACTGTGTGTAGTGTGGTAGCACTGTGAGGATTGTGACTCCAAATTAGATTTCAGATAGGCTGAGTGTTCCTTATGATCGATAATAACTGCATTACACACTTCAAGTGACACCTCTTCCTCTCCTGCGGCACCTAACAACACTTCATAATAACTTATACACTTTTGACGCACTTAACGCTGAAGTGCATCAGCTCTATTCAGACACCGAACAAAGTTGATAGGATATAATTTTTACCATTAATAATCTTTTCTTATCACTGATGGTGCCCTCAACACTGACGCCATGGCAAGTGTTATCAGCACTTACATGGGTCCACAAATAGCACTTTAACACTTCAGAGATAGTGGACGCACATGCGGGTGAGTTGCCTGCATACTGAATCATCTACCTAGCAACAGTGAGAGTTGATTCTCTCTCAGTCTGTCTCTGTCTGTCTCTTAACCAGCTGGGCTGTCAGGCCACTTACACGTCACACACAACGTTCAAGAGGACCACTTTCCTGGGGTTATTAAGCCTCCCCCGGGGGGTTAACAAGTTGAGATAAGCCAGGAAAGCCGGGCAGGATGGCTTGTTATCCACGGGTTACCCTCTACCCTATACCACTGGACACACTCCACACAACACTCGACACACAGCCCGAGGATTGAATCCAGTTCCTTTCGATTGTAAACCAGTAGAGTTTTACACACACGCTAGTGTACCAATATCTTCAAGATATACATTAAGTACATACAATAATGTACAGAGAAGCTAGCGTACTGGATAACAAGGATTATACTTCATAATAAATCCCAGTTCGAACACTTGTAGCGCTTACAGTTACGATGCACTGATACGTAGCCAACACACACTGTAATACACAGTGTGCCTGTAATACTCTGCAGTACACAGTGTATTACACTAAGTCCCACGCGTTGAGTCGAGGGTTGTGTGTTCACTGCTGTTAGGACACTCACTGCTCTTCCTTACACCTGTACTCTTTCCTTCCTTCCTTCCTTCCTTCCTTCCTTCCTCTTTTCCCCTCGTTTCTTCCTCTCACTTTCTTTATCGTCTCCCCTTTCTTCAGGGACAATTTAGAAAGGCGATTCTCCTGGCTTCATAGTCGATTGATCCTCAGTACCTTGGCTTCAACACTAGTACCTTGGCTTAAACACTGGTACCTTGGCTTCAACACTAGTGCCTTGACTTCAACTTTTGTGTAGGTAGGAGCCAAGACAATAACAATGCTCCCAAAAGATTATGTAACTCTGCTTGGCGTTGTGGGTCGTTGTGTTTACATATGGAGACATCTGGAGCAAGCGTTGGTCCATGAGATGGTAGTCCGTATGGTGATGGTAGCAGGTAGGAATGGTGGTGGTGGTAGGTAGGTATGCTGGTGGGGGAGAGTCTTAGGTAAGTAGGTAGGTAGGTACTTGCCCTTGAGGTGGAAAGCTTACACTCTCCCTCGACCAGCAAATTGATCTGTACGGCGATTGATGCAAGTTCTTCCTTGTTTTTCCTTGGGTTGTGGGAGTTGAGGCGATTGATGATGGAGGGAGTGGAGGAGAAGAGTGCGTAGGGAGGCCCTGGTGAGTGGAGGTGGAGGGAGAGTTACTACAGCACTGACACAGGTGGAGAGAGCGTGAACAGTGTGTGTGTGCCAGCCAGGGTGGTGGCACTGCTACTGCCATCTCTCCTGGCACTACCCACTGCTGCTGGGGAGGGGGACGGAGTGGGGGGCGGGGGGAATGATTTCAGACACGCCCCTCTCACCCCTCTCCCACTCTCACTCCAGGAGTCCGTCATTACTATAATAATAATAATAATAATAATAATAATAATAATAATAATAATAATAATAATAATAATCTTTATTTCTGCAAATACATAATACAAGGTATACAGACCATAGCTGACATCAATGACATACTACTATATAGAAAGTCCCTTGTTATGCTGAGCATTTCCCGAAGCTTAGGTCAGTTTTGTTCCCAGGATGCCACCCACACCAGTCTACTAACACCCAGGTACCTATTTTACTGCTAGGTGAACATGGACAGCAGGTGTCTTAAGGAAACACGTCTTAATGTCTCCACCCGTACCGGGGATCGAGCCACGGATCTCAGTTTGTGAGCCGAGTGCGCTACCAATCAAGTAGGATCCCAGGAGCAATGATTCGACGCTTGTAAACACGACTAGGTAAACATACTCGACCACTTCAGTAATTGTAAAGTCACGTGTTAGTGATTAAGAGATGGGGCCAGGAGCTGGACATCAAATGTAGGCTTGGTATTTAGGAAAGTAAGAAGTGTTGAACTACAGACCACTGCCACACCAGTACCACACCAGTCACACCAGTGCCACACCAGTACCACACCAGTGTCACATCAGTGCCACACTAGTGTCACCAGTGCCACACCAGTATCACACCAGTGCCACACCAGTCATACCAGTGCCACACTATTGTTACACCAGTGCCACACCAGTCACACCAGTGCCACACTAGTGTCACCAGTGCCACACCAGTCACACCAGTGCCATACCAGTGTTACATCAGTGCCGCACCAGTACCACACCAGTGCCACACCAGTATCACACTAGTTACACCAGTGCCACACTAGTGCCACACTAGTGTCACACCAGTATCACACCAGTGCCACAATAGTGTCACCAGTGCCACACCACACTAGTGTCACAACAGTCTCATTAGTGTCACACCAGTGCCAGACCAGTCACACCGGTGCCACACCGGTGCCACACCAGTCACACTGCCACCAGTGCTACACCATTCACACTGCCACCAGTGCTACACCATTCACACTGCCACCAGTGCTACACCATTCACACTGCCACCAGTGCTACACCATTCACACTGCCACCAGTGTCACACTAGTGCTACACCAGTTACACCAGTGCCACACCAATGCCACCTTGCTATGCACCACCAGCCTGGCACCACACCTTGTCAAAGTCACGAGGAACCTTGACAAGGTTTAGAAGTTCAAAAAACAGCAGACTGGTTAATGAACCAGGACAGATACTGGACGTGTTGAACCACGAGGTTCAGCCAGGAGAAAAGAACAAGGGGAAACATGACAACGACATACAAGATACTTACACCCATTGACTAGTGTATTAGAGCATTTTCTCACAAAAATATTAATGGAGAAATCATAAATAAACACACACACACACACACACACACACACACACACACACACACACACACACACACACACACACATACATACATACACACTTATATATATATATATATATATATATATATATATATATATATATATATACATGAGAGGGAGGGAGGGGGGGAGTCTAGCCAAGACGCCAGTCAGATCTGAGTCAATGATCACGCCCCCACCTCGTGTGAGGGGAAGGGGGGACGTGGTGGTGGAGAGGAGGGGACGTAGTCGCGTGTTAGAGGTGTGTGTGAGGGGAGGGGGTGTTATCGCGTGATACCTGCAGTCCGGGGGAGGGGCACGTGTCTGAGGTTGGGCAGTAGGGGGAGATGCAGGAGGGGAGAGGCACGTGTCTGAGGCTGGGCAGGAGGGGGAGGTGCAGGAGGGGGTGGTGCAGGAGGGGGAGGTGTCAGAGACGTCGCGGGGGGTTGATGAGAACAGGAGACGGAGAGAAATGGAGTAGGGAATAGTGGGGTGGCACTGGTGCACTGATGGTGGCACTTGTGGTGGCACTGATGGTGGCACTGGTGGGTGGCACTATTTCGGTGTTCAGAGTGCCACCGGCCTTGAGAGATGTGAACACTCAGTGTTCTTGGCCCGTTCTTTTGTTCTCTTTCTTCCCCATCATTGTGTTCTCTCTCACACCTCACTGTGGTATGCTAAGAGTATGCTACATTATATTCGGTGTATGTCACACTCCCATATAGGCTGCCATCCCGACCAGTGAACCAGGTGCTGAGGGTATAACGAGTACAACCAGCCAGGGACAAGGAAGTCTGCCATAGTTGTGAAGCGATGTGGTACACTCGTGAAGCACCTTAGGCAGACTTGCCTTCCCTGCTGGTCGCTACGGTTCTCACCGTGTCTCTTACTTGCAAATTTTGTTTTTGTACATGTATATATTGTACATGTATATATTGTACATATATATATTGTATATATAATTGCTTTGCTGTCTTTTTGCTGGTTCCTCATTTATAGCTTGGCTATCGTGCTGCAACCAGGTGTGCAGGCCAAAGGACTACACCTGTGTTTGCAATATGGGAGTCTGTCCTGAAATCTTTGTCTATGCATTATCTCTACGAACCTACCTGCCATATTGCGTTGCAAACCTGGAAAGTCATTGCGTGTTATTGCTTCGTGTTGCTTTGAGGGCATTGCAAAGTTATCGCTGTTATAGTGTTGGTTGTTTATGTCGCCGACATGTGTTAGGTGACTGGTGACTGAATATACCCTGCAAGACTTGCTCAGACTATCTCTACAACGCTGCTGGCGTACTGCTCGTTCTGTTGGTATAGAGTATCAACGAATTCTTATTGTTGCATAGCTTCGTCAGTGTGTATGCGACAAACTAGGGCTTGACTCTTGTAACATGAAGGTCCAACCTGAAATTTCATCTGCTACGGGAGCTATTAATCGCAGATCTTCGCTTCGATACCTTCCTAATGGGGAAGGACAAATGCCGGAGCCACAGGACCGATATCCACCTGGGGAAACTGGGGACGAAGAAGTCAGCTTCGTTAGCCCTTGAGTTGACTAAACTCAACCTTCAGCATACCAGGGAGCAACGTGCCTTTGCTAATGAGCAATTTGACAGAGAGGAGAGAAGACAGTTTCTGCATACCATGGATGACAATCTGTGTCGCTAATACCTCGGTTTTCTGATTCTGAGCCCGAGTAATTTTTTGAGTCTTTGGAAAATCTAGGCTTGAGCTCTGCGATGGCCAGTCGAGTACTGGGCAGCACTGGATCATACACATACAACATTATACGACAATGCACAGAAATTTGCAGCTAGTATGAGTGATGAAGGTTTTTGCTAATTTCGACGTTGTGGAAGCGGCTGTATTCGGTGCATATCAGTGCAGTCCCACTAAATATAGGCGGAATATAAACTGAGCAAGCCTCAGTTGGGTCAGTCTCATGTGGACTTCGTTCGTGGAGAACCTTAAACGTCCAAAAAGTGATACACGCCCACCGGTGTCTCAAATTTTATTGGGTTAGTGTTAATGGGTCTCACTGACACCCTTCTTGAGTCAGTTGAACCAGAGGTTCTGGTGTTTTTAGAAGACCATTCAGTGGCAACTGCCATGGAGGTGGCTAGACTTGCTGATATATTTAAGGCCAATTGCTCCTTGTCCGAGCGGTATGTTAACATTTCTTCCCAGCAGCCTGGTATGAGCAGATATCATTATGGACGGACCTCTGAATTTCGTCCAAAGGTGGACGCTGGAGTTGAAAAACGTCTGCCTCAAAACCAGCAAGGAGCAACAGACAACCTTTCCGAACACATCAGCTCTTACTACTGCTGTAAGCCTGGCCACATAAAGGCTACTTGTCCCAAGCTAAGTAAGCCTGCTGCTAGTGGTAAGTCAACTAGACCCCTACCACTAGGAAAAATTACAATGTTTTTCAATGGAACGAAGCAGCGGGAAATAAATGCCTGTATGGCATCCTTTTATACCAAAAGCCAAATGTTTCTTAACAAGCAGGAGAGTCCCATTAAAGTATCCAGCTTCAGGGATACCGGGGATTATTGATCCCTCTTACAAGAGGGAATACTTCCAATTTCTGAAGAGTCCTCAATAAACACTTCAGTGTTATTAGAAGCCTATGGAGGGACCTGTACTTTCTGTTCCTTTTCATAGAATATTCATTATAAACTTTATTGTTGCTTGGCAACAATAAATTCTAAATGGTGTCCAGGACTCATTGTAGCCATCGGAGTCTCGTCTATGTCGGCCATAACTCTGGCAGTGTTCCAAAGATATCGCATGAGAATATCGTTCAGTATTCCGTTTAAGGTTCATCAGCTGCGGCAGCTACAAACGTTACCTTCCAGCAGAACTGCAGTTATTATCGTTCCAGCAGAACTGCAGTTACTATCGTTCCAGCAGAACTGCAGTTACTATCGTTCCAGCACAACTGCGGTTACTATCCTTCCAGAAGAGCTGCAGTTACTATCCTTCCAGCAGAACTGCAGTTACTATTGTTCCAGCAGAGCTGCAGTTACTATCCTTCCAGCAAAGCTGCAGTTACTATCCTTCCAGCTAAGCTGCAGTTACTATCCTTCCAGCAGAACTGTAGTTACTATCCTTCCAGCAAAGTTGCAGTTGCTATCCTTCCAGCTAAGCTGCAGTTACTATCCTTCCAGCAGAACTGCAGTTACTATCGTTCCAGCAGAGCTGCAGTTGCTATCCTTCCAGCAGAACTGCAGTTACTATCGTTCCAGCAGAGCTGCAGTTACTATCCTTCCAGCAGAACTGCAGTTACTATCCTTCCAGCAAAGTTGCAGTTTCTATCCTTCCAGCAAAGCTGCAGTTACTATCCTTCCAGCAAAGCTGCAGTTACTATCCTTCCAGCAAGCTGCAGTTACTATCCTTCCAGCAGAGCTGCAGTTACTATCCTTCCAGCAGAGCTGCAGTTACCCCGTCCCTTTCCGAAAACATTAAGCACCACACAGCACCGGAGAGAAAAGGGGC